TGACTCGCAATATTGCGTTCAACATAGCGAAAGAGAAGACCACTGCGGGTCTTATGGCAGCTCTCTCAAATATATATGAGAAGCCATCAGCCGCGAACAAAGTTCATTTAATGCGGTAGTTATTCAATCTGAGAATGGTGGAAGGCGCGTCAGTAGCACAACACCTCAATGAACTCAACACGGTCACAACCTAATTGAGTTCAGTTGAAATTGAGTTTGATGAGGAAGTTCGGGCGTTGATACTTTTATCTTCCCTACCAGAGAGTTGGAACGCTACAGTCACAGCTAAGAGTAGCTCGTCGGGAAGCACCAAGTTTAAGTTCGACGACGTTCGTGATCTGGTTCTCAATGAGAAGATCCGACGGAGAGAGTCGGGTGAAGCTACAACCTCTTCAGTATTGCATACAGAGTCAAGAGGTAGAAATTCAACCAGGAACGGACGAGGCTGATCAAACTACAGAGGTAGATCAAAGGACATGAGGTCCAAATCAAGGAATCCAAGCAACAGCTCGAAGGCTATCGAGTGTTGGAATTGTGAAAAGACCAGACATTACAAGAATCAGTGCAAGAGTGCACAAAAGGAGAATGAGGCGAAGGCAAAGGTGAATGTCACTTCCACCTCAGGAGGAGACGACGCATTGATATGCTCTTTGGAGAGCAAAGAGGAATCTTGGGTGTTAGATTCAGGAGCGTCGTTCCATACTACTTCTCAGAAAGAATTCTTCGAGAAGTATACTCCCAAAAATCTTGGATACGTATATCTTGGTGATGATCAACCGTGTGCTATTGTAGGCAAAGGTGTGATGAAAATTATGTTGAACGGGTCAGTATGGGAGCTAAAGGATGTCAGGTATATTCCTGACCTGAGAAAGAAATTAATATCCGTAGGCCAGTTGGCTGGCAAATGATACACTATGACATTTAATGGAGATGATTGGAAGATCTCAAAGGGATCAATGACGATTGCCCGAGGCAAGAAGACCGGTACCCTGTATATGACAACAGGTGCACGTTGTTTGATCTCAGTTATAGCAGGTAATGAGACTTCAAAGCTGTGGCACCAGAGACTCGGTCATATGAGTGATAAGGGGATGAAAATCATGCACACAAAGGGAAAACTCCCAGGACTGCAGTCAGTGGAGATGGATATGTGTGAAGAATGCATACTTGGAAAGCAGAAGAGAGTCAGCTTTCAGACAAGTGGCAGAACCCCCAAAAAAAAGAAGCTAGAGCTTGTTCACTCAGATGTGTGGGGACCAACAACCACCGCGTCTATTGGTGAAAAACACTACTTTGTGACTTTTATCGATGATCACTCTCGGAAAGTGTGGGTCTACTTTCTGAAGCATAAGTCAGAAGTATTTGAAGCTTTCAGGAGATGGAAATCTATGGTCGAGAATGAGACCGGTCTGAGAATAAAGAAGCTCAGGACCGACAATGGCGGTGAGTATGAAGACACCAGATTCAAGAAGTTCTGCTATGAGCACAGGATCAGAATGGAGAGAATCGTGCCCGGCACGCCTCAGCAAAATGGTGTAGCTGAGTGGATAAACCGAACGTTAACAGAGAGAACCAGAAGCATTCGGGTGCAGCAGGCCTACCGAAGCAGTTCTGGGCAGAAGCGGTCAATACAGCAGCTTACTTGATCAACCAAGATCCATCGGTTCCATTGGAGCACAGAATACCAAAGGAGGTATGGTGCGGAAAGGAGGTAAAACTCTCACATCTCAAAGTTTTCGGTTGTGTAGCTTACGTGCATATTAGTGATCAAGGCAGGAATAAGCTTGATCCCAAGTCAAAGAAATGCACTTTCATCGGCTATGGTGAAGATGAGTTCGGCTACCGCATTTGGGACAACGAAAACAAGAAAGTGATCAGGAGCAGAGATGTGATATTCAACAAGAAGGTGATGTACAAAGACATGCACAAGATAGATGACTCAGAGAGCGAGTCAATATTTGTAGATGCAGATGATGTCCCGAGTAACCTCTCGGAAGAACCCAATGCAGAAGGTCCTCAGCCAGAAGAACCTGTTGGACAAGATGGTGTGCAGGAGCCTGATGCACCAGCTCCGATATTAAGAAGATCTTATCGTCCTCCTGTACCCAACAGGAGATATATGAACTATCTGTTGCTGACAGACGGTGGGAAGCCTGAAAGCTATGATGAAGCTTATCAGGGAGGAGATGCGAGCAAGTGGGAGCTTTCTATGAAAGATGAGATGAAGTCTCTCATCTCAAACCAGACGTGGGAACTAGCTGAGTTACCTACGGGTAAGAAGGCACTCCACAACAAATGGGTGTACCGGGTCAAAGAGGAGCAGGACGGCTCCAGAAGATATAAAGCTCGGCTGGTTGTCAAAGGATTCCAGCAAAAGGAAGGAATTGACTACACCGATAGTTTTTGCTCCCGTAGTGAAGCTAAATACTATCAGGACAGTGATGAGTATTGTAGCAATTGAAGATCTTCATCTCGAGCAGTTAGACGTAAAGACGACGTTTCTTCACGGAGATCTAGAAGAGGAGATATACATGCACCAGCCAGAAGGTTTCTCAGAAAAAAAAGAAGGACCTGATGTGCACACTCAAGAAGAGCTTGTATGGCCTGAAAAAAGCCCCAAGGCAGTGGTATAAAAAGTTTGACGGCTTCATGCACAAGGAAGGTTTTCAGAAGTGCAACGCCGACCACTGTTGCTACTTCAAAAGATATCAGTTCAGTTATATCATCCTACTGCTGTATATTGATGATATGTTGGTTGTAGGTGCAGATATGGAGGATATCAGGAGTTTGAATCAGCAGTTGTCAAAGGAGTTTGACATAAAGGACTTGATTCCAGCGAAGAAGATCCTTGGAATGCAAATCACGAGAGATAAGAAGAGAGGTTTCTTGCAGTTATCTCAGGCGGAGTACATCAATCGTATTTTGCAGAGATTCAACATGGGCGACGCCAAGCCAGTGAGCACACCCTTGGCCAGCTATTTTCGCCTATCAAAGGATCAGTCTCCTCAGTCAGAAGAAGTGAAAGAGAGTATGGCTCAGGTCCCTTATGCCTCAGCTATCGGAAGTCTGATGTACGTAATGGTTTGTACGAGACCAGACATTGGCCATACAGTGGGAGTGGTCAGCCGGTTTATGTCGAATCCAGGAAAAGCTCATTGGGAAGCGGTCAAGTGAATTCTGAGATATCTACGAGGTACCACACAGAAGTGTTTGCATTTTGGTAAGGGAGAAGTGGAAGTGCAAGGGTACGTAGATGCAGACTTCGACGGTGAAGTCGATCACCGAAGAAGCACCATCGACTATGTATTCACTGTTGGAACTACAGCTGTTAGTTGGATGTCACAGATACAAAAGATTGTCACTCTGTCCACTACAGAAACTGAGTATGTTACAGTGACTGAAGCCAGTAAAGAGATGATATGGCTTCAGGGGTTGTTAACAGAGCTGGGATTCAATCAGGAGAAGAATGTTCTGCACAGCGATAGTCAGAGTGCGATACACTTGGCGAAGAATTCCGCATTTCATTCTAGAACGAAGCATATTAGGCTTCGGTACCACTTAATCAGATCCCTGTTGGAAGATGATGTGTTAAGACTGAAAAAGATTCCAGGTAGCAAGAATCCAGCAGATATGTTAACAAAGATAATGACCGTTCAAAAACTAGAGTTGTGCGAGACTTCAATTGGCCTTCATGCATAGATGATGAGGGCGAAGCCACACAGGAGGAGGAGCTTGATGAGATAGCCTACTGACGGCGGTTTGATCTCCAAGTGTGAGATTGTTGAGATTAGGTGAAGACCAAACCTGCAGGCGAGGCGAGCTCGATGTCACGGCGGCTTCAGGCGAAGTCGAAGACAGCGGGTGAACGAGCTCAGATCCAGGCGAGTTCAAGGCTGCCGACCTTCTTCGCAGGCGAGTTCCTGTCAGGCGATCTGAGCTTTTCTTCGCTACAGGACCGAACTGTCGAACTTGTGTCGAACCGCTAGGGCATACGATATCCAGGCTGTCGAAGCCTATCGAACCAACCCAGCTAGTGTTTCCTATAAAAGGGAAACCCTAGGGCTCGAGCGGTTAAGCCTTTTTCCTTTCTCTCTCTTCGATTCCGGGCGGCGGCTCCCTCTCACTCTTCTCCAGCGATCTTTGCTCTCTCTCTCTGTCTTTCTCCATCTCTCAACTCTCAACAGTGATTTGAAGGGGATTTTAAGAAAAAAAGTTAAGAGGGGTATTTAAAGAAGTGAAGGAATTAAACAGGGGTATTTAAGGAGAGGGGTACTGTAGCTACAGTATTAGCCTTGGTATTTATTGAGGAATCTCAGTTTGAGATTTGCTCTAAATTGTAATTTCTTGTTAGATTAATAAGAAATTGATTGTGTGGCTCCCGAGGACGTAGGCAGTTGCCGAACCTCGTTAAAACTTGGTGTACTTTTTTCTATTCTGCGTTTCTGTTGCATTAGGGATTTCGGCGTTAAATTCCCAACAAATTTAGTATATATTTATTAACAAATTAGCTTTTTTTATCTCATAATGACTGTTATAATCTGTTGTTAAGTATATATAGTGCATTGTAAGTGAATTTTGCAAATGTGTTTTATTTGTCATTTGTATTTATTTATGTCTCAGAGTTGAATTTAACAAATACGTCAGCTTGCCTCTTCTTACAGTTTTTCAGCGGGGAATAATTTTGGCAGAATGCCCATTTGGTGCCATTATTTATGCCTCAGTTTCTAAACTGTAGTCAGTTTTGGGACACCATTCCATTCCTATAGTTTCTAATAAGTTCTAGATTTGAGTTTCATTAAATCTTACATGCTAGTTCTTTTTGGGTTCTAATTGATTTTCCAAAGGGTTTTGTTACCTAATCCAACTGTTCAGTAATGGCTTAAACATAGAACCAATTTTTCTAATGTAACTCCTAATTTCACTACTGGAATTGCTTAATTGACTTTTAGCTTGATGGTTTTCTATTGGAGATGTACATCACCACCATTTGAACTTTGTAGGTGTCCAATCTTCTCTTTGTGGATTATCCAGCAGGGACTGGGTACTCCTATGCTGACATACCAGAGGACTATATTACAAATGATGCAAAATCAGTTTCTGATTTGTATGAATTTATTTCCAAGGTCAGCAAAAACTTTTCAGTTTTCATTTCATGAGTTCAGGTAATTAACTTTGTGTAATTGTAACTATTATCTTATGTTCTTCAGTGGTTTAGAGAGTACCCTGAATTCCTTCCAAATCCATTATATTTGGCTGGATGCTCTTATAGTGGTGTGGTGGTTCCTGTTTTAGCACAAGATATAGCCAACGGTAAAGACAATTCCTCACTTCTTTACAGATTACAAACTATTTTGACATGTACCTTCGTTATTTAGTAACATGCTTTTAATTAATTTAATTATGCAGGAATTGAAGCTGGGGGTGAGCCGACTTTAAATTTCAAGGTGTATCTGCTCACGATTTTTTGTAGGATATAAGCTCCTTCATGTCCATAAACTCACATTATCATCAGTCACCAACATTTATCTTTATTTTAACATGAAAATGTAGTATATAAATTTGACAGTTTTGTTGTACTTGAAGCGCAACTCTTATGTAAGCAAACCTTTTTCAGTATCGTACTTGAAGCATCTACTTTTTGAGATCTAATCCTCTCCCTTTAATATCCCCATAAATTTCTCATGCATTTTATCTGTCTTATTGCTTATCAGGGTTATTCATTGGGTAATGCAGCAATTGATATAGATATTCAAAGCAATGCCCAGGTTCCTTATGCGCATAGGATGGGTCTCATCTCAAATGAACTATACGAGGTCAACTTTACTTTACCATATTTTTTTCTCAAATATGCTAAATTTATAACTACTGTCAGATACAATGTATTAACTAAGTTTAGCTATCTGTTAGTGTTCCTTCCTATCCGTGTTATCATGCCAAAATTTTAACTAATGTCAATTACTTTATTCAAACTACTAACTTTTAGCATCAACAGGATTTATCTAGATCCTGCAGTGGGAAATACTGGAATAACAGCCACCCTGATTGCTTAAGAAACTTGGAAATTTTTGAGATGGTAAGCTAACGATTTTGATTATAAGACATCTACTTATGGGCTATTTTACTTCTGATGCATCCATTTTCTTGAGCGCAGCAAACTACAGGTATTAATAAAGAACATATTCTTTGTCTACCTTGCCATCATGAGATGGGAGTTAGCATGAACATCGAGGAATATGAATCTATCAGGATGCACCAAAGCCTCCATGGAGACAATGAATATAGTATCTACTGTCATGTAAGTAATTCCTGCATGATCAAAAATATTTAATTGTTCTTGTTGATCTTACCAACATTTATCGTCCTGATGTATTTCATCCAAGAAAAAATTAGATGTTTTCAACAGTTTATACTGGTTGTTTCCGATGATATTCTTTTGACAGACACTCTTTGACAGAATTATGAAAAATACCCTCAAACTCTGTTTGATTTGGAGTCCACAAGAGAATGTCTTCATGCAATGCCGGTATGATTAGTGGTGTGTTGCAATAGAAAGCTAGAATTTATTTTTTGTGCCAAACATGGTTCTCTATAGATAAGTTCCATGTATAAGTTTATTTCTGTAGCCAAATAGCATGGTTGATAAGGTGGTAAGAAACTATTTGAACGATGCAGGCAGAAGTAACTGGAAAATGGAAACGATGCTCAGTTCAGGTTCAATACGAAAGGAACATCTGGGATTTGACATCATACCATTTGAATCTCACTATGAAAGGTTATAGAGCCTTCTTCTATAGGTATTTCCATAACAAATAGTTTTTTTAATAATTAAGTTACTGATGCCATCTTGTATTTAAAAATTCCATATGTTTCTCCGGGGGGGGCATGTTAGAATTAATATAAAACTATAATCATTGATCCTCACCATAACTTCGGAGTTTTGGTATAATGGTTAGAGGAACTAAATTTAAGAAAAGTAAAATCTCTAATACCATTGTCTGTTGCCATATCAAAGCAAAATTAATATTATTGTTGTCCTGGTTCTAAGAAAATATCAAAGTAACCCCTACTAGAGACCCTTTCTAGTTAAATTTTAGAAAATTACAAAATGTTATGAGTCACCTTCATGGCTAAAAGAAACCTGAGGGGCATAACATTAATATATGACTCAATTTCTAGACAAGGTTTAACGATACTTGGATAGAGGTAGATGCTATTTTCTAGACAAGGTTTAACGATACTTGGATAGAGGTAGATGCTAGTTACTCAGAAGTATGATACTATGTGTAGCGTTGATATGATTGTCAAGAATTGAGCACATGGAATACTCTTTCACAATTTCTGTTAAAGCCATGCATAACTGAGAACCTCCCTTGATATAGTTGCTTTTTTATTTCCTTTATATGTTTAATTCCTGCTTCACTGTCTGCATTTAACTACCCAAACTTTTCATAATTTTCCTTTTATTTCCTTGGAACAGCGGAGATCATGACATGGTTCTTCCATACACAGCAACCCTTAAATGGATAAGAAGGTTTAACTATTCTGAGATTGAGAAATGGCGTCCGTGGTTCGTTGATGAACATATAGCAGGGTAACTTTACCTTCTCCCTTATTATATAATGATGTGTATATACATACTCAAGTATGTCTTTTTAATGAGACTATGAAAACCTGTTGTTAAATATTGAGTGTTTCATTTGTCAATCAGGTACACAGTACGGTTCGACCACAACATAGTATTTGCTACACTCAAGGTAAGAATATAGACAGATCTACCCGCAAGCGTAACTTCCCAGCTTTGAATTTTGAATTTGTGGATCGCACAACTATAAAATTTTGGATAAATTTTACAAAGACCCTCTTAGCTTTTGGGTCACTTCGATCTATCAAACCCTCCCCCAACCCCCCCTACACTTAACTTCTAATGTTGCCGCTTAATTAACCACCATACATTGAGCTTTCGTCAACATACCCCACCAATGAAAAAATTCCTGGTACACCTTTTTCGGGTTGTATTTTTTTTGAATTTTACCCTAATTTTTAAAAATAATTCATGCAAATAAATTATAATTTTCATAGGGCTCACAAAATAAAAATCTGGTTATTAGTGCCCGTATTAATTTTCTGGGATTTCTATCAAACAAGGATTTATAGCATTCCTATATATCCGAACTTTCCACGCTAGTAATTAGAAAATTATACCATGCTTGATAGTTGTATGTTTCTGGTGCACAGGGAGCTGGCCATACAGTATGGGAGTACTTGCCTCGTGAAGCATTGATTTGTTATCAGAGGTGGATTGATGCTGATTCTCTCTGATACCTTGTTGAGCGATGCTCTAATAGACTAATAATTCTAGCCAACAAGCTCAAAGCTGCAGTAATATTCAGTAATTGGTTCTTGCGGTAAATATACAATGTTGCAGCCCATGAGTTCCTGTTTTAATTTGTTGTTTTAATGGGAATTTGAGGTAAAAAAGAAAAAAGTACGCCTTTCAGTTCGAGTCAATGATTCCTCCGTGGAGAGCTGGTTCTTGTGCGGCGAAAGATATTTGTCCTGTTTTCTGTTTATTACAAAACATCCGAAGACGTGGAGAAAAATTACATATAGGGGCCGTTTGGTTGGTTTCCTAAAAACCAAGAAAAAGAAATCGGTACAAGGAAACCAATAAAATAATATTTTTATCCATTTTCATCCCTAAAACTCACCCACACCATCCAATAAAATAATATTTTTATCCTCCAACTCATCTCATTTCTTACCTTTAAAAATAAATCAAACACAAGAAATGTGTCACATCATCTAACTCATCACATCTCATCTTATCTCATTTTTAAAAATCACACACATCATCTAATAATATTGTGACAACTTATCTCATCTCATTAAACCTTCATTTCCATTCATTTCCTCAAAAAAAAGAAAAAAAAACAAGAAATTGATTTCCTTAAGTATGTCTCACATCATCCAATAATATACCTCCAACTCATCTCATCTCATCTATTTTCTTATTTTTAAAAATGAACCAAACACAAACAACCTCAAAACATCATCCAATAATATACCTCCAATTCATTTCCTTATTTTTTTTAACCAACCAAACAACCTCAAAACAAGTTTTTTTTTTTAAAATCACTCACATCATCAAATAATAAGGTGACAACTCATCTCATCTCATCGTGACAACTCATCTCATCTCATCTCCTATTCTATAGTTTTCTTCCTTTTTAAGCCAACCAAACAACCTCAAAACAATTATTATAGGAAATAGGTTTCCTATTTTTTGATTTCCCAATTTCTTTTGCGAAACGAACAGCCCCAGGAAACTCTATAAAGATATAGGAGGCAGGAGCCTACACGTCTTACTGTAATAATAAAAAACAGAAATAAGCCTGAAGTCGCTACCTTGTTAGGAAAAAGTTTATGGAAAGTTTGCTCAGGAAAGTAAAATTTTACAGTATTGTCCATGTATACACTAATTATATCCAAGGATAAGTATCAAAGGATTTGGATTCTCTCCAAACATTCTCAAAAATTAGTGGACAGACTATCATTTTAATTTAACTTATCAATTGTTTAACGAACATTTGAGAATAATTGTAATTCATTCTAAATATAATATTTACCATATTCCTCATGAATTGCACAAATTTCTATTTTATAATCAATAAAACAAGGAATGACTTAAGGACAGGGGACAGGTGAGGTGTCCCCTCCCTATTACATAATGAGTTGGCCATGCCAACTCATTATACAATAGGGAGTGAACACCTTACCCGTCCCCTCTCTTGGTCTCATATTTTGGGTGCCCGTAGCAGCACTCATAAGACAAATCACAATTGTATACTAAATAATTAATGGTTTGAAGTAGAAGTTCTCCATCAAGCAAATGTAACTAATGTTTTTCCATTGAGCAAATGTAACATAATAAAAAAGTACATGGTTGTAAAAAGGATTTTCTTTAGATATTAGTCCTTTTAAATTATAAGTAATTTGATATTAGCCCCTTAAATATTCATATTGTGTATCGACTCCTCAAATAGCTTTGTAACGTTGGTATGAGCCCTATGGTTAGGTTCATATTTTGACATTAGCTTATCAAATAGCCATGATGTGTTGATATGAGCCCCTCATATTAACACATGATAGCAACTTTAGGGGCTCAGTTTAAAATATGGAGACTTAAGGGGCTAACATCAAATTACCTTGAATGTAAGGCGCTAACATCTAAAAATCCCTTATAAAAAAAGTTTTTTTTTGTAGGAATATAAAAATAAAAGTTGTACTTCATGTTTATTGATAACAGCAAATATATTTTGCCTCTGGTTTCCCCTTTTAAGCACTGGTTGTGGTGCTCTCTCTTGGAACCAGAGAAACAGCTAGTGGTGATCTTTTCTATAATAATAAAATTAGAAATATATTTGTTTATCCTCTGCAAACTATCACGCTCGTTGGTTAAAGTAAATTTTAGGCGTTGTTTGGATGTCTCGTGAAAATATGGGTATTTATGATGTCCTATGGAAAGTGATCAGTCTCCTCATTATTTTTCATTTGAGATTTTACGTTGTTTGGTTAGAAATCTTTGTGGATCGTAAAATGTTAATACCACATTATTTGGATGCTTGATGTAAACTTCAAAAGTGATTTATTTGGTCTCCATTCAAAATATTTATCTTAACATGGATAAGATTACCTCCATAAACACATAGAACTCAAACTCCTCATTAGGGTGATAATAGTTATGTGAGATAATATGCACATAATGGTGCATTTTAGACATAGTTAAACAAACTATTATATCCAATTTATCTCATTAAACAAAGTTTTATGCCAAATTTTAGAGAGATTAACCAAAATTAAAGACTTTTTACATATGTACCCCTCAAATTTCCCATATTTGTATCTATAATTACTACGCCCGACACCATGCGTCTAACGTTTGTTTGTATGCTAAAGGTGTTTTTGTCTATGCATGGACAAAAGTATGTCTGAGATCACCATTGAGTAAACATACACGACTGGAGGAGAGAGTGGCTGTGGTTCCCTCTTTTATTTCTTTCTTATAGCAAAGATGTGATTCACAACTTGAACCAAGGTGAGGATATACTTGTCTTTTACTTAGTCAAATATCGTAGGTTATAAACTCCCAAAAAAGAAGCTAGATTACGCTATCTTTTGGTGGCTTAAAAGCCTAAATAAGCTACTTATCAAATATCTTTAAGTGCCTTACAAACTACTTTGACCAATTGCCAAACATGTTAGTTCAGCAACGTGATAAACACTGAGGCACACTTTAACCAAAATTAATTCGAGTTATAAAGTCATAAGTTGTACTTTTCTAAAAGGGTTTTCCTAGAAAACACTTTTAAAATAAGGTTATTCTATGAAAACCATCTAAAATGGTCAATTTATACAAAAACCTCTTTTAAAGGATTTTTTATTGCAAGCAAACACCTAGACCTACTTTGTAGTTAAGTTTTTCTGTAATTGATATTATCTAATCTCAATTAAGTGAGTCCAGGTGGTTGATTGCCAAAAAAATCATTTAAAGGTGATTTATGTATAAATTGACAATCAAAGTTGGTTTTTATAGAATCATCCTATTTTAAAAGTAGTTTTCAAGAACCCTTCCAAAACGTGTAATTTAGGCCTGGTCGGCTCGTGGGCCTATAATTTCGAAAATCTCTTTGGCTGCGTTTGGGAACTTGGATTTGGCCCCTGGATTTCAAATCCAGGGTATTTGAAATCCAAATCTCTAGTTTGAACTTTCAATTGGGCTGAGATTTCAAATCAAATTATTTGAGAGAGGAGAAATTGAAAGCCTAAATATAGATATTTCAAATCTCACCCTACCCCTTGGTATTTACCAAATCCCGATCTCATTTCTCAGTCCCCCCCCAAATCCCGACTCTTAAGTCTCCCTTAGCGCGAAACTTCCTTCTCTCCCTGTAAAACCCTAAAAATTTTGAAAATATTATTATAAATAATAATAAATGAGTTTTATTATGATTGGTGATTATTTTGGGATGAATGGATCAGATTGGAATCGATTTGAGATCGATTCGCAGTTTCAGCCTCGGTATCGCGAGTCTACTGAAAACTGATACTATTTTATTTTTAGAAATTTTTCTATTGATCAGATGGGCACGAGATTTATGCCATTGATCTTAGAATGTCAATAACGTGTTGTGGGTAAAGTTTCATTGAGTTCTGACGACGGAGACTGAAATACTATTTTGAGACAGTATCGCGTCTACTGTCATCCATTGCATTTGTATTTTTTATAATTTTTATATTGATCATATGGATATGAGGTTTACACCATTGATCTTAGAATGACGAGACGGTGCTATGGGTAAATTTTCATTGCTTTCTGAAAACAAAGTCTGAAATCATATTTTTAAATAATATAAAATAATATATATTATTTTATTTCTCACCAACCCCTCTCATCTACCCCTGCCTAACGTTCACTTACCACCAACTTTTTTATTATTTTTATTATTATTAATTGGAAGTTATAAAGGGGGGGTTAGTGATCTCAGGAGCAAACAAACACAGTGAGAGAAGAGAGAGAAAGAGAAAGAGAGAGAGAAATAGAGGGAGAGAGAAAGAAAGAGAGAGAGAAATAGAGGGAGAGAGAAAGAAAGAGAGGATTTTGGCAATTCGAAAAGCAGGAACAGATAGGGATTCCAATTTCAGAGATCAATAAAGGCAAGTTCATCTCTTTCCAAACCCATCCCCAGTAAATTTTGATCTTGATGAATATACATGATATTGATGAATATACATGATATTGATAAAAATTGATGAATATACATGATATTGAAGAAAAGACTTGATATTGATGAAAATTGATGAATAGAATATAAGACCAAATTCCTAAAGACATGATATTACTAGCTAGAACTATACGTACATGTCTACCGTTGGAAACACTGTTACTATTTTATATGTATGAGACTATTCATACGTACGACACTATTCATAAATAAAGTTACTATTCATATGTACGGAACTATTCATAAAGACCGTACTGTTCAAACGTACAACACTATTCATGGGTACTATTCATACATACTATGGTACTATTCATAAATACCGTACTGTTCATACGTACGGCACTATTCATAAGTACTATTACTATTCATGCATACTGAGGGGGTACTATTCATACGTACTGTTATTGTTCATACATACGATACTATTCATAAGTACTGACACTATTCATACGTATGGGTACTATTTATACACACTATTACTATTCATGCATATGGTACTATTCATATGTACTGTTACTATTCATGAGTACGGATACTAGTCGTAAAGTACTGTTTCTATTAGTAAGTACTGCTACTATTCACAATTTGTTAATACAGCAGATAGTTGGGGTTGATAATCCTGATCATTTACTGGACAGTTTGGCCTAGT